GTCTCCCCAGGACATCGACAGCACCACTCCCCTGTCCGTGCTGACTGGCCCAGGCTGTCCTCGTCACCGATGCGGCCACGCACAGCCCGGCTCATGACAGCTGTGAGCTGCCCGGCGGGGGCAGGGACGTGGGCAGGGACGGCCCGCCCCGACGTGACGATGGCCCGCGGCAGGTTAGACAGAGCTGAATGAAGCTTAGCACTTCCGACCGGACAGTTTTGGGGTAATTTGACAAACAGAATTCCCAAGCCCCCAAACACCTGTGGCCACGTTTTACTTCTAAGGGTGTGTGTTGCCCTGGATGCGTTTCCAACTCCAGATGACACAGTCCCGCAGGGACGTGGAGGGGCGGGTTTGCAGGGGCAAGAGCCCTTGGCGGGGAGGGGGCTTATGCAAAGAAAACAGAGCTGGGGGGTCAGAAACAATGATCCTGCACTCTGACCCGCTTGGGGCAAAACCACGGTCTAGGGGAGGGCTGGGGAAGAGTGGCCTTGGACGTGGGGGAGGGGGGAGGAGCCAAGGGGCATCACTTTTAGTCAAGTGCTGCGAGTCCTCGGGTAACGTATGGTTTCGTTTTCATCTGCTCCGGCAAAGTCAGGGACACACAGGGCCTCAGAGGTCCCAGGAACCGCTCAGCTGACTTCAAGGTCAGGCTGGCGGCTGCTCTGGCGGGGGGGGGCGGCCCTCGCCCGGCCAGCATCAGAGCCAGGCTGCCGTACTACCCACAGCCCAGCCCGGTTTCAGGGCCCCGAGCGTGCTGTCCCTCACGCTGGAGGAATTCACACCTGAGACATGTGGGGCTCCTCCGTCTGTCCCACTCGAGCTCAGGCTGGGAGAGCCAGAGACCCCGGCCTCACGGTCCCCCCGCCCGAGGGCCGGGTCCGGTGCACCCCTGGGCCCTGCCCGCCTGCCGCCCCTGCTCCTGCACCCAGGTTCCAGAATGCTCCCCGTCGCGGGCGCGCCGGGCGCGGAGCTCCTAGGCCTGGAAGTGGGTCATGAACATCTCGTCATGTGACAGGACATTGGCCAAAGCCTCAGGCACACGGCACGGTCCCTAGAACCGGGACATAAGCCCCTGGAGGTGATCACATCTCCCCGAAAACAAACCTGCCTTGAGTCCGTCCCCAGAGGGCCCTCTCCGAGCGGGTCGTCTGATGACCTGGACTGCAGGGCCTAATGCAGAGGGACGTCAGGAAGGGGCTTTGAAACTAGATTAGGTTACACAAATGTCATGGCAGCCGTGAGCTGTTTTCCTTTCCTGCTCCCCTTTTCCTGGCAGCCGGCTCGAGGCCCCTCCGGGTCATCCACAGTGCAGGCTGTTTGTAAGGCCCAGCGCCTCCTGCCGGGCCGGGGCCTGTGGGCAGAGGGGACAGTGAAACCCTTCCAAGTGCCGCCTGTCCCCGTGTGGCCCAACAGGGTGACCCGAGAGTCTCTAGGAACAAAGGCTCCAGGCCCACCTCCAGCCCTGCCCAGCCCAGGGCCTGGGACCCGTCTTTCTGCACAGGCCTCAGTTTTCCCATCTATAAAATAGGAGTGAGAACCCCCCACTCCCCAGATGGCCATGAGCTTTAAAAGAATGAAAGTGCTCTGCTCAGGGCACCCTCCTGGGGCAGACTCGGAGTCCCACTAAGTCCTTCTAAAGCCAGTGTGAGGGGCAGGCACTACACTGCAGATGAGCAGAGGTTCAGAGAGGAAAGTAATTCACCTGAGGTCACACAGCCTTGAGATGGCAACGTGGAGCCCCGAAGATCTCACTGCTTCACATTCACGCTCGGACCTGCTGGCCCCGAAACTCTCCTCGAGGCTCAGTGTCTGCCAAGAAGGCCAAACAGGAACACGGCCAGCTGACCACGAAACATGATGGGGCGCTAGGGAGGAGAGAGAGCAATTTATCAGGGAAAGCCACTGACTGAAGGGGTTTTGCAAGCTGGGCCTTGAGGGATACGTAGGAGTTCATCAAGTAGAAAAGAAAGCAAAGGAAGGATCCTCCACGTTGAGGACCAGAATGGGCAAAGGCTTAGGGGAGAGGCAGGCTTGCGGCTGGAGGGGCTAGCAGGGGGCGGGGGAGGGGGGTAGGTCCCACGGACTGGGGTGCCTGTCTCCCTCCCGAGGAGGAGGGGCACTTGCATAGCAGTTCTTTGTTGGGGGTAGGGAGGCTGGGCAAGGCAGGGCGGGGGTGGACCTGGGCTGTGCACTTTGGGCTGAGACGCCTTCCTTTTTGGCTCAAGCAGAAGAGGTCTGTGAAGATGACAGACGCTGCTGCACACAGCCAGTCGCCTCCTCCCCCCACCCCGTGCGGCTGGGCCCCAAGGCTGGTGAGGGCGGCAGGGGGTCCGGCTTGGCGGGGTGGGGGTCGGTTCACCTCCCACCCCAGAGGGCTGTTGGCTCAGGACCGCCCGGGAGGCAGCACAGCCCTGGACGCACCCTGTGTGGGGGTCAGAGAGCAAGCTCTCTGCCGCCCTCACCCCTGCCTCCAAGGAGTCTCCTTGAAGAAGAGTCTCAGGCTTCTAATTGTAATGAATTCATGTCCACTTTAGAGATTTGTGAATGCGGAAAAAGCAACCGGAGACTGCCGCCCTCATGAATAGTGTGCATCTGTTTTTATTACCGGGTTTAATTATTAGCTGGGTGACCTTAGGCACATTAGCTAACCTCTCTGTGACTTGTTTACCTATTTGTAATGGGAATAATAATAACATCACCTACATGCTAAGATTGATGCGAGAATTAAGAGGAAACATCACAGGACAAAGCACACGGCCCACTGATGCTGGAATTTGCTGTTCAAGGACCGACAGCAGTTTATTCCTGGTACAGAGTGCAAGCCCCTCCCCGAAAGCCCCCCTGATCCCAGGCTCCTCACGGATCTCTCCTTCTTCTCTGGACCTTCTTCGGGGGTGGGGGTGAGGCCTCCCTTGTCTCCATCCGTTCACCACCAGTGGCGCTGGCGGAACATCTTCCACTTTCTCAGTTACCTGGGCTCTGAGGGCAGGGGGAGTGGGGTTCGTCCCGCTGCGGGGCCTCCAGCACAGCCAGCTCCCAGGACCCTGAGTAGGAAGGGGCCACTGCTCTGTCCTTGGGGGGCCCAGTTTGAAAGAGTTCAAAGAGGAAAAGACAGATCCAATGGAGAAGTCAAGAGAGAGATGGGCAAAGGAGGGGGCCCGGTTCAGACCCCAGAGGTAGGGTGGGGAGAGTGGGCACCACAGGAGTCCATCCCGGCAGGTGGATGGGAACTCTGAGGGGTGGAGGAGCAGGGGAGGGTGGAGGGG